GGAGCAGGACAAAAGTAGGGTGCAGAACTCAAATTCTAGTAAAAAGGCCAGACTTAATGGTTTGACTGAGACTGGAGGGACCCCAGAAACATGGCCCCTGAACGCTCTGTTGGCCCAGAGCTGAAAACATGCCCGAGGCCTACTCTTCAGACAAAGATTAGACTGGAGTATGGGTTATAAAGTGATACTCATGAGGAATGTGCTTCTTAGCTCGAGTAGATACAAGAGACTAAATGGGCAGCTCCTGTCCAGAGGTGAGATAAGAAGGCAGAGAGGGTCAGGAGCTGGTTGAATGGACATGGGAAATCCAGAGTGGAAAGGAAGAGTGTGCTGTCATAGTACAGGGAGAGTGGCTAGGGTCACATAGCAATGTGTGTATAAATTTTTGTATGAGAAACTGACTTGAATTGTAAACTTTCACTTAAAGCACAATAAAAAAATAAAAGAAATTCCAGACAGTCTGGAAGAACTCTAATGTCTACATGTCTAAACAATGTACTTTTCAGCTCCCTAGACAGGTGAAAAATGGGCCTGTTAAGCCTTTCTGAACACCTGCTAGGTGGAGTCCCTCATGAAGATGTCAAATCAAAATGAATGAATTGGGGGAAAGAAGCCCCCAAACAAGTTACTCCAGTTTAGACAGCTCAAGATCAATTCTTTATGAAGAAATCAACTTATCCAGGCCTAAAAGTTGATTAGGATGGTATTTCTGTTCATGAATTGAGTCCAGCTGTCCCTTGGCAAAGATTTTTCCTCTATAATCTACAGTTTAACATAGTTGAACAAAGTTTCACTGACATACCTGGGAACTACCTTTCAGAGACAAAAATAGTTGTAACAGATTTGGCTTGGAAGCAGGGAGACAGACCATGCAACTCTGGAGGTTTCTTTCAGTTATGGGATGGTAGACTTTATAGTTAAAACAATAAATAAGGTCTTTTTTGGTTTAGGATCAAAAAAGACTTTAGAAATTATCTAAAGTATCCTCCTTTTTGGTATTGATACGGTCACTGTGACCTGGGAGGTTGCTTTGCTATGATGAGGAAGAACCCAGGGAAGAGTAAATTGAATAAATTATGACTAGTCTATGGAATTGCTTACTCTTAGATAGACACAGCACTGTTCTAGTTCTTACCACCTCCTCAGGGATCTTACTTTGTCAGTTATCCCACTTTCCCCTTACATTGTCTCCTTCTCATCAGCCTAAAACATACTCAAGTTTTTACCATCCTAAAAAGAACATTTTCTCAACACTATTTGCTTAAGAGCCCACCAATGCCTCCTTCATTCTTTCACTTACAAACTTTAAGAAAGCAATATGATGTGGCAGAAAGAATGCAGGCTTTGAAAGTGGACAATCTTACATTAAAATGCTTACCTTGCTGAGTGGCCTGAGGCAGCCCACCTTCCCTCAGTTTAAAACAGTATGATGCCCTCTTTGAAAGATCAAGTTTAACAAATGCACCCATTATTCATATGCTTGTTGGTTCTTTTTCTTTCCTTACCATTCATTCCTCAATTCACTGCAGTCTGGTTTCTGATCCCACATTCTACTGAAACTCTATTCAGTGTCACAGGTTCCTTACTCACTTGCCAAATAAAATCAGCACTTTTATTCCTCATCTATCTTAACTTCTCGTCAGTGTCTGATGCTCCTAACTCCTCTCCTTGGTCCATTTTCCTTACAGAGCTTCTGAGAAATGAGAAATTTCTCCATCCTGATTTTTCTCCCGTATTTTAGCTGGTTACTAATTCTAAGCCTCTTTCATTCTTCTGGTTCCTCTTCCTTTCCCAAATGTTGGGCTCCATGGTTGGCA